AATAAAACAAAGTAGAAAATTTAGGATAATGTTGTGTATACACCAGTTACAGGAAATGTTAAAAATTTTGTCGAAACGTTGTACATTTGCTGTCATGTTAAACTTATATTAAAGTTTTTCTTCATTACCCATTTAAGCCGTCTCCAGCCATTATTAGTCTCAAAGTGGATTCCTCGTCATCGAATTTGAATTCATTAGTAGTTGTTCACATCACATACTGTAAGGTCATAAACGGGTGGGAAACAAGAGGCTGTATTGTAAAAGTAAACAAAAATCTTGCTTAAAACTTACCCAGGCACTGTGAATGGTGTGGGTGCAAGAAACAGGTGAGAAACAAGTAATTCAATACAAACATCACTGATATGATCTCCAAGTAACTGTGAATTGATCCAGCGCTTGGCAAGTCTACAACTTGCGCTAAAGATGCTGTGTTGGGCATGGAGCCTAAAGGGTAAACTTCACTTTAATGGAACTAAAAATTGTCACTTATTATTAACTGAGACTAAATTTTATTAATCACAATTAAAAAGTTCAAGAATTTTTTAAATATTTTGTTCTTGTAGAAAATTATCAAATTTCTATGTATGCTTTTACTGCATTTTTAAACAATAACTATTAACCATACAGTATTATTAACTTTGTCAAATCTAGGAAGTCTTAGATTTAAGTTGCCTTGTAGGATTAATTAATTTCATTATAAATCCCAAGTTTATTCATAAAGAAAACCCTACAGGAAAAAGCCTAAAACTATTTCTAATACTTTAAGTGGGCTTGGCTTTGTGGTTCGTGAATCAGACTACGAATCTGAAGTTCAGTGATTTGCATTCATAACTGCCCAAATAAATCACACCCTACACTTTGGGAGTGTTATAAGAGTTAAATAAACTTTATGTTCTAGTATATTAATCTAAGGCTTGATATCTATATGTGGCTGTTGAAAAACTAAAAATAATTATATTTTTATTGGGAAAATTTATTAATTCTAAAGCTGGATTTAATCCAGAAAAAGTTTTGTTTTTAAACATCATATTCAGAAAAATGACTTACTCCACAATAAATCGTAAGAATATAAAAAGTTACACACAATAACAGGCTTAAAAATTAATGCTACAAATAGGGGCATAGGTTGCCGCCTATAGCACACAAACTGTCTGATGTAAAGGTATTAAGATGTCACTTTCATTTTGTATTGGCTTTACGTATTTTGCTACTGAAATTTTCACCCAGTTTTGGCAGTTATAGAGGTGGTGTGGGTCCAAGTTAAGTTTCTCTAACAACACTCGTTGAAACTGGTTCAGCCAGTTTCTCACAACACCAGACAGATGGACAAGTCTGCTTTATAAGTATAGATATGCATGTCTTCTTATCTTTAAACTTTCTAAACATTAAACAAATAATTTCTCTAGTTCCTCATTAACAAAAAAATATATGTATGAAATTTTCCTGTGATTTTTTTTATCGACTTTACTTACCCCTGCAAAGTGCTGGTCAACTTAGGCAATAAAACGGTCTGTCGTTCAAGATTCTGAGACTCTTCAGTGTCTTTCACAGCTACTATGCCTTCTGGTGTCATTACTTGTCTTGATAAAATCAACTCCTTATGACATGCGATAATAATTCGAAAAACATACCCATCCTGGTGATTAAAATATACAGTTTTATATTAATGTAAAGTTTTTATATTAAACAAAGTTTTATATCAACACAGTTTTGATGTTAAACACAAAAGTTTTATACCAACATGAAGTGTCAATTTAACTTAAGTTTGTAAGACAGTAACCTACAGGACTTGGGAGCCTGTCTTACTACATGAAAGTAGTTTTTTTCAAGGAAAGAAAAACTGTTACTTGAATTAAAAAAAATTTGTTAATGTAGGTTTGTTGTCTGAAGGTACTTTTGGTAGTTGACGAGATTTTGGTCTCAGTATGCAAAACACATTGATCACAAGACAGAAATATAAATTAAGAGACATAAAGATGAAATAAAAGGACAAGGTCTTGTGAAGACAAGGAGAAAAACATTTCCATGTGCCAGAGATGTGTCACTTTAAAACTATCTTCTACAACATTTCCATGTGCCAGAGATGTGTCACTTTAAAACTATCTTCTACAACATTTCCATGTGCCAGAGATGTGTCACTTTAAAACTATCTTCTACAACATTTCCATGTGCCAGAGATGTTCCACTTTTACAACACTGACTAACATCTTGAACTCTATTTGTTGTTTGTTTGTGTTTGAATTTTTCGCAAAGCTACACGGGGGATATCTGGGCTAGCCATCCGTAATTTAGCAGTGTAAGACTAGAGG